CTGGTGGGCTCAGCGAGGATTCCTTTACGTCGCGATCGTAGTTTTTATTTATAACTCTCACCAAATGTTTTTATGAAAGTTTCATAATCTGTTGTAGTAGTTTATATATCAAATACTTCATCATATCATTAATAGATGTTTATTTCCGCTATAATTCTGATCACATGTTTAAATTCCGCTGTACATTAAATTATTTATAACTCTGATAATATGATTACATTCCGCGGTTATACAATAACTATTATACTCTGATGTTGTACTAAAAGGGATGTATGAAATGGTTAAGAATGATGTAAGCTTTGTTCTCTCATTTGTGATCCTGATGGCAAAAATGTGGATTTTCGGGTTCTCCCATGGGGTGTGCCCGACGGAACCGAGTAATTTAGTGTTCTCCCTTGAGTGCTTAGTGTCTAATGGAAGACAAGCACTCCTGTGAGGCATTAGATTAGGCGGTTCTGCTACATCCAGGTAGTCAAGCACTTTCTCGAACGATATATGGTCATCTTCTCCGATCCACACAATAGCTAGCGAGCAACCGGGCAGTGCTTCATCAATGACCATGGTCCCATGTTCAACTTCGCCTCCGAGGATGAAACCAGAGAGGCCACTCATGCCCACATGGAGTTAGGGTCCATGTTCGCATTGAAGGGATTCCCTCGCATATCGAGGGCGAAGATGTTGCTAAGAAGGTTCTGGGCAAGGCTTGTGCCTTCCACTATGTGGAGGAACACACAAGACACAGGGAAAGGACTAGGACTTATGATAGTGGATGTGGGTAATTTAAAAGAAATTTTAGGGTTACTGTGGGGGGTATGACCCCGGATACCCACGACAGACTACATGGGCTGCGCCACTAGGGGTGGTCCAGCCCACAAGACGAAGACTTACGGTGCACGTTGCTGCTCGGCGTGTACCGCAAGACATCAAGGGCGATATCCTGAAGATGCTACGAGATCTGTTAGGATATGCTCGATCCCATGATTCTTGTAATATGTTATTACTTACCAGTTATCTCATAGACCTAACCGACTTGTAACCCTAACCCCTAGCTATATAAGTTAGGTAGGGGACCCCCTCAAAACACACGTAATATCATACGACAGCCAATACAAACCGACAGACCACAGGAGTAGGGTATTACGTCGTGCTGACGGCCCGAACCTATCTAACTCTTGTGTCTCTATTACCTTCTTGTTCTTGATTACGTGCACCTCTGCCTATCAATCTACCTTCGTGGGATACCCCTCGGAGGACTACCGACGATATTCTATCGACAGTTGGCACGTCAGGTAGGGGTGTGCATGTTGTTTCCATGACAAACAAGATGGTACACTTTTCAAGCTCTTTGTCCTCTCCAGAGCCCGGCCAGATCTTTACAGTCGGATCAATCTCTTGGGTCATTAATGCTGATGGAGACAGAGAGATCTTCAAGCCGGTGCATATTGATTTTGCGCCGACCACACCAACGCCTGCAATAGCAGATCCAATCTCAGAACCACCTCCGAGGTCGTCTTCACCAACAACTCGCCACCTGCTGCCCCGCTACTCGAGGAAGCAGGTCGGCAACGATGATCTGATCACATCCATCGATCAGGTCGGCCAGAAGCTCGCCGACTGCCTCTCCCTCATGGAATCGGCTCTGACCACTCTGGTTCGGCGCCGACCACTTTCTGATTCCGATCTATCAGAAGTCGATCGGCAAACTCCAGGGGATACGGCCACAATCCATCAGGATGCCCTAAGGGACAAATTCGCCAACCAGATTGGAGACATCTATCCTCTCGCCGACCAACTCTCGCCGACTGTCAATATGCTGCAAATCGGCCAATGTCCCAAAGAATCCCTCTACACCATCATAGAGGAAAATCCAGACTATGAGTCCCAGGGATCTATGAAGATTGTCGCCGAAACCGCTGCCGTCCAACCTCCTTTTCCACCCTTCCGAGGAGGCAGGATTTTTAATGTCAACATCGACAGCCCTCCACGGGATGGAGAAAACGATGAGGACCACGCAACTCGCATCAACAGAAACGCCAACCTTCTATCAAAGCGCCATGCAGTATCGCTTCTCCGACCAGATTGAATGCGGTTACGTCAACAATCTCCTCAAAACTGATCTGCCTAAGGCTGACCCGCAACATAAGGATGACATCGCCCGGACTACTCGTTCCGACGCTAGCTGCCTTGCAACGATGATCGCCGCGTAGAACTATGCTATGACGACCACGACCGCCGCCACGATGATAGGCCGGAAAGCTCGAGGGCCGGGAAATTTCGTCGACACCGATCAGACGTTCTGTCTAAAGCTAAGTCATGCTTTAATATTTTTCTAAATATTCCCCAACCTTCATATATCTCCATGATGTTTCTCCGAGCTGTTTTCTCCATGTTTGCTCTCTAAAAGATTTTATTTCATGTATACCATCTTAAAGATGACATACAACTAATCCTAAGGCAAATCCCCAAACAGTCATGTTGATGCTCGGATGTTCCTAGAGATGGCCTTGTCTCCGTCTTCTCCCTACATATGCACGAGTGCCTGCCCTCTGCGTTAGGGGTGGTCGACAGCGTCTCCTTAGCGACACCCTGCTCTTCCTACACGCGCACGGGCTCCGTGCTCCGTGTTATGGTTAACAAGCTAGCTAGTGCTGGAGACTTAGCTACACACTAACTGGTCGGACGGTTTATATTAAATATAAACACATTTTCAGAATAACACCAAGTGTTCACACCAATTGATTGCCGAGCTGCATACACTATTTCATTACCATTGTTGATTCTTCTCCGGAGTTCATATATTTTATTTTTACATCATGTACTACCCATTCAATATTTTTATTGCAGGATCATCATCCCGGTGGTCGCACCACCTGGCCTTTGGACTTCTCTGCCAATCAACTGGTCGGACCACTAGGTTCATGGACTTCATCGCCGAATAGTTGGTCGGACTGTTCGGCGTTCACTTCTACTCGGCGCTCACTTCATCGCCGACCAGTTGGTTGGGCTGCTCGGTGCTTGATTTTTCGCCAACCAACTGGTCAGATTGTCCGTCGCTTCATCGTCAGCTACGCTAGGGGCTCGCCGGCTAAGCTGGGGACTCCATGGCATTTGGATTGTTCGTTGCTTCATCGTCAGCCACGCTAGGGCTCGCCAGCTAAGCTAGGGACTCCTCGGTGTTCGGATTCTTCGTGCAAGCGTCGCCAGCTGAGCTGGGGACTCCTCGGTGTTCGGATTCTTCGTGCAAGCGTCGTCAGCTAAGCTAGGGACTCCTCGGCGTTTGGATTCTTCGTGCAAGAGTCGCCAACTAAGCTGGGGACTCCCTTGGCGGTCAGATCTTACTACGTCTCATCGGTGTGCTGTCAACTTGCTTCATGCTGTTCGGATCAGGGTGCTGATCTTGGGTAGCACGTCTGGGGTCTTGATACGCACATGACATATGACATTGGCAAGCTTTCAGGCTTATTTTCTTTGACCCTGCTACAAGATTTATTTCTTCATCTTTCAGCAGGTTTGGGAACTAAGTGGGCATACTTCACCTTGCGGTGAGTGTGTTTTCTTTAATTTGTTCATTGGAAGACTCCGTGCCTCCTGAAGTTGAAGAAGATTATCTCCTTTTCTCATGGTTGGACTCTAAGTGGGCACACTTGGTTCACAGCGAGAAAAATTTCGATTTTGAACTTGAGCTCCTTATATCCTTCTGGCAAGCCTTATTTGGGTAAGCCGGTGCTCGGTCGGACAGTTAAGCTGGTCGCCTATGGTCTACAGTTGCTCGACGACTCATTAGAGTGGTCGGACTATGAGTCTGACTGCTTGGATTTATTTACACCTGCTCGGATAAGCTCAAGACGGCATTGCACAACGGATATAAGGCGCTCGGGGACTAGCTGTGGGGAGTACGACCCCGGATATCCATGGCAGACTACACGGGCTGCGCCGCCAGGGGTGGTCCAGCCCATAAGACGAAGACGTACGGTGCACGGTGCTGCTCGGCGTGTACCGCAAGACATCAAGGGCGATATCCTGAAGATGCTATGAGATCTGTTAGGATATGCTCGATCCCGGGATTCTTGTAATCTGTTATTACTTACCGGTTATCTCTAGACCTAACCGATTTGTAACCTACCCCCAGCTATATAAGGCGGATATGGGGACTCCCTCAAAACACACGCAATATCATACGACAGCCAGTACAAACCGACAGACTACAGGAGTAGGGTATTACGTCGTGCTGACGGTCCGAACATGTCTAACTCTTGTGTCTCTGTTGGCTTCTTGTTCTTGATTACGCGCACCTCTGCCGATCAATCTACATTCGTGGGATACCACTCGAAGGATTGCCGACGATATTCTGTCGACAGTTACTTTGTGTTATCTTTTATAATAACGGATGTGGGTAATTTAGATATATATTTAGGGGTTATTTAAATTATCTGACCAGGACTTATGATAGATGTGACTAGTTTTTTTAGAAAAAAATGAAATGTATCTTTTGGCTATTATTGGTGATGATGATTAGATTTTATCAAATTAAATGCAAATGTATCTATTTAATATGCAAATTTCTATCATTTATTTATTACGTCGATGTATGAGAATTAACGTGGAGAGTGGAGACTCCTTTCAAATCTCCTCGTCATAGCACATCATATTCTCTACTAAATTTTATTTGAAATATCGACAGCCATTCGAATAAATATTAGAACTGCTCTATATAAATACTCTACCAGATCATATATGATGAAACTAAGCCTTGACCACTAACATTTTTTATATAATTTCTACATAGCCTACCAGAATTTAACAAAATTCCAATAGTGACACATAGTAGGTATTCAATTGGCTGGATCTTGGACGGACCTTTTGCACCGTTGCATGGAAGAATCGAGAAAATCTGAGTTTGACAGCTCTATGGATTCATCAATAAAGAGCCGCCGAAGGCTCATCACGAATACACAACATACAGGCCCTGTTCTCCCAGACTCCCACAGTTCGCAGATAGAATGGCTGAGCTGCGCTCGTGGCTGTCATGGCTTATCGCCTCCCTCATTGCCGTCTGCTTCCTTGATCTCCTAGCACATCCACGCCGCGGTCTCCCACCGGGGCCTCGCCCTCTGCCCCTTGTCGGCAACCTCCACCTCCTCGGTGATCAGCCGCACCGCTCCCTTGCCGGCCTCGCGAAGCTCTACGGCCCGCTCATGTCCCTCCGCCTGGGCACGGTCACCACGGTTGTCGTGTCCTCCCCGGAAGCCGCACGCGAGTTCTTGCAGAAGCACGACGCTGTCTTCGCGACGCGGTTTGTACCAGACGCCACTGTCGACCATGCCAAGAACTCCGTCGTCTGGCTGCCCAACTCGCCGCGCTGGCGCGCGCTCAGAAAGATTATGGGCAGGGAGCTTTTTGCGCCGCACAGACTGGACGCGCTCCAGCACCTCCGGCGTGAGAAGGTGCAGCTGCTAGTGGACCACGTCGGCCGGTTAGCACGTGAGGGCGTGGCGGTGGACGTCGGCCGCGTGGCGTTCACAACGATGCTGAACCTCCTCTCGAGCACTATGTTTTCTTGCGACCTGACAAATCTGGACGACCATGGCGAGTCCAAAGGGTTCCAAGAAGTGGTAACGGAGATCATGGAGGCCGCGGCCAGTCCGAACATGTCGGACTTCTACCCAGCGCTCGCGGCTGCCGACCTGCAAGGCTGTCGCCGGCGCTTTGCCAGGTTGCTTGCACGGCTGCACCGGGCGTTCGACGTGGAGATCGACCGGAGGGTGCACGACCGCAAGGCTGGACAACCACGAAAGGACGACTTCCTTGACCTGTTGCTGGACAGCGAGATGGACAACAATGGCACGGCGGGGCTTGATCATATCGTGACACGCTACGGTCGATGTTTACGGTAAGCACCATCTACAGTGCTAGTTTTTACTTTTTACTAGGTCTTTATTTACACCCATGTATGAGCGACTCTAAAAGACTCTCTATATCCTTCTTAAATGATAGGAATAGAGATTTTGGTAAAAAAAACTATCCTCTAACAGCTTGTTTAAATGTTTATCAAATATAGTCAATCTTCTATTTCGGATTTTTCGTTAGCGAAAAATAGAATACGAGAATGAATCTATAGAGTGCGCACGAGATATAGAAAAATATTGGAGAGTGAAAAGATAGAAAATAATTTTTATATAAATAATTCTTCAAATGATGATTTAGAGAGTAAGATTTAGAAAGACTCTTGGAGATGCTCTAAGGTGCTACAATACTTGGTCTTGTCGATCACCGTTCAATAATGTATGTTTTGGAAAATTGAAGCTTCATAAACATTTTGGTCGATCATAATTTAATATAGTTTTGTAAAAAGAAATTGTATAACCTAAACCCACATTTATATATAGTTCTTTTACACCACAGTAGAACTCTAGCTACAAAATAGCATACTGTCCGATGAAAGATGATCAAATTCAAACTTTATTTATTTGCTGATCATGTTAATTAAAAAATTGTCCTATATATGTTGAACTCAAGGAATACAAAATTATATATAGTTTATAAAAGTGATACATACAGTTAGTGGTATTCCCTCACGTATACCGTTCAAGGGACGGTAGAAAATCGGCTATTTCATATGCCTTACATGCTCTCCTTGTGGACATAATACACGGTGCCGAATGTGTGTTAAACTTTTGCAAGGTTGGTCAGCGCCACAAAAATGGTTTCTAGATATTCTTGAGAATCCTACAATTTTCCTTCAAAAGATTGCAATGATAATCATATAGTAACCTAATAACCAGATCGAGCGTGACACTTTTGTAATTTAGCTTGGTTCTATGTTCAATCAATGCTGTGGGGCTACCTTTGGGCTGCTGTCATGAGATTTTGTGAAAATGATCCACCACGTATATAGAAAATAAGGATTTTGTAGTGCATCCAAGATGGTATGCGCCCATCGAGACTGTGACATTTTTCACACGTTGTGATTGCATTCCAGTGATCACATATATGCATGTTGTCACGTGGGGAACGTGTGTGTGGTGGTGGTGGTGTGGGGGGCGGCTTCGGGTGCTCGCTAACTCTCACCTATTTGAATGGTTCAAAAATGTTGCCTTACTTGGTTCTTTAATTTTCAGTGTCCGCTACAATTCAGAACTTCTATTGTTATTAACACATATTGAAACCTACTTCCTCCGTCCTATAATATAGTTCATTCTAGCAATCAAAATTTGTCCTTAAATATAATACATTCTAGAGGACAAAAACTAAATTTACATTAAATACTTTCTTTTATCAACCAATCATCATTAATCACGTGGATGATAGCGTCTGATTAGGAAATAAAATAAGAGTACATGTGTCTTTTATGTTCTCTCTTAATTTGTCTTAAAATTTCTAGAATACACTATATTACGGGACATAGGGAGTAGATTTTAGCTCGCATAAAAGGTATTTATATAAAAATATATATCCTTTTGTATATCACATTATGAATGAAGTTGTTAAAGCTTAATTTTTATCTCAAATTGTCATTGTAAAACATCAAAAATGTTACATGAAAAAAATAACACCAGGCGCCGTCATGGCATGTGCACTCAAAGTATCAAAAATAGGCATTTTACATATACAATCGACGCAACCATAGAAAACCTCCCTCTCACCTTGTACCATGTGATTTTGGTGTAAGCATATGTTGAACTATAAAGATTTTGTTTGGTTTAAGGGCATAGTTGGATGGAATATGGTGATCTATGAATTTTGGGATAGAATGATCCATGCTACCTTTTTCAAAGGACCAAATGGTCCAAGAGGGGGTTGAATTGGGCTCTATAAAGATTTGAATTAAAGCGCGTCAACCTTAGACTATGCAAATTCTATCCTTCTTTAGCACCTTGCCTCCTAAGTTCTACAAAAGCACTCTAGTGAGTCCTTAGGGCCAACAATGCTAATCAAGTCCTTAGCAAGGATCACACTAAGAAAAAGGTCATGTAACCTATGATAAGCAAATTATCATGAATTCTAGATGTCACACAATGAACTTGCAATGAAAATAGAACAAGTTAAAAAGCTAGGCAAAGAGACAACAAAATTTTTCTCGTGGTCTCAGGTTGTTGCTACACCCCCCTACTCCACGTTGGTACACCTAAGTCACAAAAGACTTGGTTATGATCCGCTCCACTAATGAATAACCATTCGCCACTTTGGCATAGTATGTTTCAATAGCTTGACAAGCTTCTAGATCCCCCTCAAAATGACTCCACCGAGGAAGGTCACCAAGTCCTCCACCGAACCATCTAGAGTAACAAGTCTTCAGGCCTCCAACTCAAGGAACCCAAGCAAGAAGACCGATAACACTCAAGGCTAACACTCTAATCTCACATCTTGGTTTGGGTGGCTCTCCAAATGCTTTACTATCTTCTCTATAGGTGCTAACAAGAATGAGGTGTGAGGGTGGCTCCAAATGAGCTAGGTGTGGCACTTATATAGAGGGTGAAGAGGGTGCTAGCCATTGCAAAAGGTTGACATATGCTGTCATCCTCAGATGATCCACCCGCCTCCACATGCCACGTCAAATCATACAATGGTGTTGTGCTAGCTGATTCCTCTAACAGCTAGATGGGAATATGCCGAAATATTCCTTGTGGTATGATACACCGGTGGGTCACTCATAGTCCCACCAGATCATACGATGCACCATAGAGACTTGGTCAACAGATCACTAAGTCCAACTTGGCCCACTAGATTATCCCCTGAGGTCACTAAGTTAAACTTGTTTTGCTATAGTTACTTTGGTATTTTCTTCTTATATTTTTGTTGTGTTGTTGGTTTGTTTAAAACTTCTAAAACTTGTTTCTTGAAATTTAGACATTTATTTGAGATCCTTGTATCCTAATTTTTCTCTAAGATTCTTTTGGAATCTTTTTAGTCGTTTGTATATTTACCATAAGCTATCTAGAGTTAACTAGATTATTATTCAACTAAAAGTTCTATTTCAAAATTTAAGAAAACCATGAACATGGTAATGGAGCAACATGGATTCCGAACCGCCCCTTGCCACCAAGGGAACTAGGGAACAGTTTGGACCTACCAGAAAATATAGGCCGGGTTTAAGACCCCGAATTTGCACTTAGGAGTTTTTGACCTAAATGAGAATGCAAAACACAAGTTGGTGTGTAGCTAGCTGAAGGAAGTGAAGAGTAAAAACAAGTTGGTTGGCTGCTACTATTTCTTTGGGAGAGTTTACAATTTGATATATCGTGCAAAGTGCAAACACAAGGCATTTGCACTAACAGCTTCTTGTAAAAGATCATACATTGCTTTTATTGAACAATTTCGAATATCTACATAAAAATCTTTGACGTCACTAAAATTCTGTAATGGTTGAGACTGTTAATTTCATAATATGATCATGTTTTAGGATTTATTTGCTGCGGGAAGTGACACAAGCTCTAGCACAGTGGAATGGGCAATGACGGAGTTGCTTCAAAATCCAGTGTCAATGTCTAAAGTTTGCAATGAGCTTGCAGGAATTATTGGCTCAGGAAGAAATATTGAAGAATCACAAATTGGCCAGTTGCCGTATCTTCAAGCTGTGATTAAAGAAACTTTTCGACTCCATCCTCCTGCTCCATTATTGTTACCACGTCAAGCTGAGACGGCAACAAAAGTAATAGGTTACACAATACCTAAAGATGCTTGTGTACTGATAAATATATGGGGAATGGGTCGAGATGCAAATATATGGTCTGAACCAGAGAAGTTCATGCCCGAAAGATTTTTGGCAAAGACGGTCGATTTCAAAGGCGGAGACTTTGGCCTCATCCCGTTTGGTGCAGGACGCCGGATTTGCCCTGGCATGCCATTGGCTATTAGGATGGTGCATCTGGTGCTTGGATCACTGTTAAATCAATTCAAATGGAAGCTTCCAGCTGATGTTGAAGGAAATAGAGTTGACATGGCAGAAAAATTTGGGGTGACACTGATCAAGGCTGTGCCACTCTGCGCTATAGCTACACCAATTTGAGTTCACCCCAATAGGTCGGCACAACTGTATTTTGATCTTTTTTTTTGTGAATAACTGTATTTTGAACCTTCTTATTGTGCAATAATGTACTAAGCACAGATGATTTGCTAACTATAGTGAGACGCACCAACCATCAGCTGCATTTATTTCCTGAACATAAGACATGGTTTATTTAGACATATTGTATGTCTCAATGCATAGAAAAGCTACATATATAAAAAAATCAAAATGTCTTATAAGTTGGAATGAATGGAGTAACATTTATGATACATATATTTTTATAAAAAAGTTAAAGACATAAATATTGATATATTTTTTTTTATAAACTTAGCCAAACTTTAAAATATTTGACTTATTCGAAACCTAGGATTTTTTATGACAGAGAGAGTACATATATATATATTTCTAGGTCAAGGATATTTAAATCAATGGAACTGCTAGTACCCGGATGTCTGATCCGGGCGCTAGCATCAGGACACTCGCGTCAGTTGCGCCTGCCTGTGCGCCCGCCAGCCTGCACCTACTTCACGCGTGCCGTGTCTCGATCTGCACTCGCTCTCGTTTCCCGGACCTGCCGCTCGCGCCCCTCCGCTCCCACACGCATGCACGTGGGCCCAACAGCTGCAAGCATGTGGCTATGGCAGGTGGGTCCAACTACAACATTTAAACACCAAATCTACTTTTGCAACATCCAGATGAAACCTTTGCAACATATGTCTAAAACAGATGAAACATTTGGGACATATAGTTGAAACACCATTGCAATATGTGCAACATCCCGATCTACTTTTGAAACATTTAGATGCAACACTTGTAACATACAAAAGAAGACAGATGAAACACTTGAGACATGCGTCTGAAACACTTGCAACATACGTGTACAAAAAA